ACACACACACACACACACACACACACACACACACACACACACACACACACATATCCACCCCACCCTCCGCCCCCGCACTCCATTCCCTCACAATCTCTTTCATTTTCCCAGTCAAGGTAAACAATTCAATCACAAAGGGAAGTAAGCAAAAATAATGTAGTGAAATGTACATAAACATGAAAAAATGATATCAATAGGCGGATATTAGACCATATCTTTTCATATAAACTTTGAGCTTGTCAAGTATTAACAAATGGCCAAACATACACGGCCAACGATCGTCAGTTCTAATTGATCTCTTATGATTAGACATGATGAACAGAAAACTATATAACCCATAGCACAGTGGTGATAGCTGTGTACATAAGTAATAGGTGGCCGGGGGACGGATGGCGGGGGCCTGTTGTAATAATCACATAACAGATCCCGGGGGGGAGCGGGGGAGGGGGGTGGTGTTTGCGGGGGCTGGGCAGGAGCGGGCAGGGGCCTCAATTGGAGGGTTCTAAGGTGAGAGAGGAGAGAGGGAAAGTGTCTAAAACGGAGAGGGGACTTACCGGCGAACCTGGCACTGTGGGAGATGAGCCGGACCAACAGTGAGCCTCAAGTGGAGGATTGGAAGGTGTGTGAGAGAGGGTGACCAAAGATAGATAACAAGGCTAAAACAGCTCCTATACATGGATGTCTGGTGTCACTATATAGAAATTATTGATGGTCAAAGGTGGATAGAGAGGGAATGTCGTCAGGTAGTCCAACGGTCTGTCTGTCTGTCTCTTCCGTGCCTCACTTTCTATCTCTTTCTCTCTCTCTCTCTTTCTCTCTCTCTCTCTCTCTATCTATCTATCTCTATCTATCTATCTCTATATCTATCTATCTATCTATCTATCTATCTATCTATCTATCTACCTATCTATCTATCTATCTATCTATCTATACATCTCTCTTTCTCTCTCTATCTCCCCCTCTTCCCTCATCCCCTTACATAGTGGGGACCGGACAGAGAGAAAGGAGAGGACACTCCGGTATCTGTCCGCCGAACCTGGCAATGTGGGAGATGAGCCGGACCAACAGTGAGCCTCAAGTGGAGGATTGGAAGGTGTGTGAGAGAGGGTGACCAAAGATAGATAACAAGGCTAAAACAGCTCCTATACATGGATAGCTAGTGTCAGTATATAGAAATTATTGATGGTCAAAGGTGGATAGAGAGGGAATGTCGTCAGGTAGTCCAACGGTTTGTCTGTCTGTCTCTTTCGTTCCTCACTCTCTATCTCTTCCGTGCCTCACTCTCTATCTCTTTCTCTCTCTCTTTCTCTTTCTCTCTCTCTCTCTCTCTCTCTCTCTCTCTCTCTCTCTCTATATATATATATATATATATATATATATCTATTTATCTATCTATCTATCTATCTATCTATCTATCTATCTATCTATCTATCTATCTATCTATCTATCTATCTATCTATCTATCTATCTATCTATCTATCTATATCTCTCTCTTTCTCTCTCTATCTCCCCCTCTTCCCTCATCCCCTTACATAGTGGGGACCGGACAGAGAGAAAGGAGAGGACACTCCGGTATCTGTCCGCCGACCTGTCATAGTTTGTTAAGCGTGAATATGTGCAGAGGACAGTAAGCTGATCGTGAGCTCTGTGGTTGCTAGATGCCGCCCTCCAAACCTCCAATTCCCCCCCTCCCCACACACACAAACACATAAAAACACACACACACACACACACACACACACACACACACACACACACACACACACACACACACACACACACACACACACACATCCCCTTCTTCTGTCTCCTCCTTTTGCCTCCGACTGGGATGCCTCTATACAATTTCCTCTTTCATCACACGTTCACACAATTTACTTCCTGCCAACCTCTCGTAGAGATACAATTGATATCGTTGATGACTAGCATCAATTTCTTTATAATTAGCCCCTTCGCCTGGCACCCACTTAGTCACTTCCGTCTAGCCTGTAACCATACGTAAACCTAAGACCCCCTTTGTTAGGCCCATTTCCCTGCTAGTATACAGCGCTCATTTAGTTTTTCTCTCAGTTGCTCCTGAGGAAGCCCACGGGGCGAAACGTTTATCTATTAAATAAATTTAAACATTTTATATTGTTATTTTATTTTTGTCTAAAATTAAAACAAGACTCTCCCTCCTACCCTGCTTACCAAAAAATAATGATGATGATGATGATGATGATGATGATGATGATGATAATAATAATAATAATAATAATAATAATAATAATAATAATAATAATAATAATAATAATAATAATAATAATATTAAAGATAATTATTATTATTAATATTATA